TCTCCTCCTCCTTCTCTCTCTTCTTCTCCCTCTCTCTTCTCTCTCTCTCTCTGTCCTCTCTGCTTTTCCCTCCTTTCTTCTCTCTGGTGAGATTGTTCTAATGCTCTGCTTATATATATGCAATTCACTTTCATGATTTAAGGCTTATATATTATACAGACATTAAGCAGAATAATACTTCACATTTAATACTAAGAAGGTGGCAGGTGATCGTGGAATTATTTTATTTTTCACGTCGGAAGAATTTTCTTCTCGGTGCGCGACACAACACACACACAAAACACACACACAAAAACACGCACACACACACGACACGCACACACACGCAACACACACGGCACACGCAGCACACCAACCACACACACACACACACACACACACACAACACACACACACACACACACACACACAACACACACACACACACACACACAACACACACACACACACACACACACACACACACCACACACACACACACGTTCAACTCACACGCAGTCCGAAATACCCCAAAGAACGGGTTAAGGTTTAAGAAAGTGTCACCAAGAGGAAGGGGAGGCTGGTAGGCTGCCAACAAGGGGATTAAGATAGGTAAAAGGGTGTCAAGTTAATTAACCCCCTTTCCTTTCCTCTCTACATGCTCTCCTCTGCCCCTCCTCTCGTCTGCTCTCTCCTTCCTGCTCGTCCCCCACCTCCTCCTCCCTCCTCCCTGCCTCCTTCCTCCTTCCTGCTTCCCCTCCCACTCCACTTAGTCCTGCTCCCCACTCCTCCTCCTGCTCCTTCCAACTCTCCCTCTCCATGCCCTCCCTCACGCCTCACGACTCCCCACTCCCCCCTCCCCACGCTCCAACTCCCTCACCCTCCACTCCCTCCCACGCCTCCCTCCCCTCCCTTCGATTGCCCTACATGACCCTGAGAGCCGGAGGGGGTGGGGGTGTTGAACCAGAATCACCCCAAAGGTAATTAGAGTGAGATCTCGGAGAGTCGACTCCTTAGGTCATCAGATTAAGAAATGTGAAGAGTGATTGACTGAAAGATGAGGGGGAAGGGGGGAAGGAGGGAGAGGAGAGAGGGGGAAAAGAGGGGGAAGGGGCGAAAAGAGGTATACACAAAGAGGGAGAGCGAGAAAGGCTGAAAGATGGGGGGGAGAGAGAGAGGGGGAAAGAAGGGGAGAGGAGGGCGAAAGAGGTATACACAAGAGAGGGAGAGCGAGAGATACTGGAAAATGCGGGGGAGAGGGATGAGGGGGGAAGAGGACGAAAAAGTATAAACAAGAAAGAGAGCGAGGAAGGCTGAAAGATGAGGGGGAAAGGGGAGAGGAGAGGAAGAGAGGAGGAAGGAGGCGAAATGAGGCATAAACAAGAGGGGGAGCAAGAAACACAGGAGGAGGGGAAAGCGAAAGAGGTGAATGAAATAAAGGTGGAGAGATAATGAAAAGGAAGGAAGGTAAAAGGAGGCAAAGATAAGCCAATGAAAATATAAAGAGGAAGAGGAAGAGAAAATGGAGGAACACGACTAGAGGAGAGGAAATGAGACAATGAAAGGAAAGGAGATCGAAATGATGTGAAAAAAAACAAAAACGAGGGAAGAAAGAAAGTTAAAAGAAATGCAGAAACGAGGGACTGAAACAATGCTATAAAGAGAGGGACTGAGGTGGAGAGAAAGAAGTGAGAGAAAGGAAGAAAAGGGAGTGAAGATGAGAGGGGATAATGAGAACGACCATTAACTGGCCAAAAGAGAACAGGACACTCTAATTGAAGCTCGGACAAGGGGAAGAAAAAAGAAGAGAAAGCGAAAGAGAATGAGAGGGAGAAGGAGAGGGAGAAGGGGAAGAGAGAGGGGGAATTGTGGAGGGGCAAAACCTTGCAAATAACAGATAACAGACCTTCTGTAACAGGTGATTAACAGCTAACTGCGGTCTGTTAACAGCGTGGGGGTGATTAATGGAAGGGTTGGAGGAGGGGAGTTTGATTGCATGTGGGGGGGGGGGGTAATAAGAGAGAGGGAAAGGTCTGTTTTTGTGAAAGATGGAAGTAACGGATGAGGAAGAGAGAGAAAGACAGAGAAAGAGTACAAAATTGAGAGAGAGAGAGAGAGAGACAGAGAGAGACAGAGAGAGACACACAGAGAGAAGGATAACAAAATATAGATAAAGGTGTACAAAACAACTAGCAAGCAATGTAAAGCGAGGCGAACGCGGATAAAAACACATATGATTGCAGACATGGGAGTAGAAATTCACAAAAATATCCTCATAAAAAAATGCCTTGCCCAATGATGTGTCTAAATGTTCTGGGAAACGACTGAGTGAAGTTGTAAAAGAGAGAAAGAGAGAAGGAGAAAAAAAATATTGCAGAGAATTATCGTTCGCGAGAATCACAAAAAAGAGAAGGAAAGGGAGACGAAAAGAGAGAAGAAACAAAACAAAAGAACAATGATCCTTTTTTTTGTTTTTGTTTTTGAGAACTGGCATAAAAACGTATATGTTACGAGGAAAATAAACATAGACACTTCTTTTTTTTTGTTTTTCCTGCACGATTATTGTAGCCAAGCGCCTATTGGGAACGGGAGAAAAAGATACCTAGAATTTGCATATTCCCGGGGAAAAATACAAAAAAAATGGACAATCAAATGCACTGTACCCTTAGATGACCCTCCCCCCTGCCCAACTCTCTGGCCCCTTAAAAAAAATCGTTAGCCACGTTAGAGGGTAAATTTCCCTTTGAAAGGCGAGGGGAGGTCGGTGTCTCCACGCTAAGGGCGTCGTCAAACGTGTGAAGACGTCTCCATTACCCTCTCACTCGCTCTCTCTCTCTCTCTCTCTCTCTCTCTCTCTCTCTCTCTCTCTCTCTCTCTCTCTCTCTCTCTCTCTCCTCTCTCTCTCTCTTCTCTCTTCTCTCTCTCTTCTCTCTCTCTCTCTCTCTCTCTCTCTCTCTCTCTCCCTCCTCTCCTCCCTCTCCATCTACATCTCTCGCTTTCTTTTGCATTTTTCCTCTCATCCTGTACCTCTTTTATTCCATCCTCCTCGAAGTTTTAATGTAAATGAAGCAAGGCAAAGAAAAAGGATATTTGACACGCTGAATTTATGCAACTTATATGAAAGAAAAAAATCGCCTCACACGCCCTTGCTGCCTCTTGCATTTTTGCTGCCTCTTGCATTTTGTCACTCAGATGAATTCCGACTTAGATGTCAAACGTCTCTGCTTTTCAAAAAGAAATTTCCTGATGTATATTCTTGATGGACATTCTCTCTGTCTCTCTCTCTCTCTCTCTCTCTCTCTCTCTCTCTCTCTCTTCTCTCTCTCTCTCTCTCTCTCTCTCTCTCTCTCTCTCTCTCTCTCTCTCTCTCTCTCTCTCTCTCTCTCTCTCTCTCTCTCTCTCTCTCTTCTCTCTCTTCTTTCCTAGCCCTTTCCTAGCCTTTCCATTAATTCGTTCTGCTTAGCCCTATCATTTTATATAACTATAACTTACGCATTTATAAATATTTCCATCTGCCATGTGCTTTATTCATTTGGTTCATCTTCCTATTTGTGTATTATAACAGCCGTCATAATAAACGATACAGCAACATAATATCAAGTCGGTTATGATCCCTTTCCGTGACGTTAACCGATGCGACTTTGTTTTTCCACATGGAATTGACGTCTATTTACGTAGGAGGTTTGAAGGTTAGACGACAGAAAGGAGGAACGGGGAGGAAGAAAATAATCTTTATTATGCTTAAATTAGCCATCCGTTTCACTAATCACGCCGAGGATTATTTAGTTTGTCGGATTTAATCGTATTTTGCCCGCGGCTCTGGTGGCGGATGGGATCTGGCGTAAACATGCACTGTTTGTTGTCATTTGCGCGAGTTTGTTTTGACGGCGGGAAGGTACATCACGGGATCCGGGTTTCATGGCAGGGTTTACTGCCTTTTATGAACTTATATTTGGCTATTTAAAAGATGGTTGTGGGAGTGTTGAGTAGAAGACACTTAGGCCTAATGTTTATGTGTTTTCGTTGTTATCATTAGCAGTACTTGGGCCTCACATAAGAGAAGCAATACGTTACGTTGAATGGTTCATCTCAGGTTTTGTTTTTCACTTTTCGCTTTCTTATTATCATTATTAATCCTTCACCCCCCCTCCCCTTCTCTCTCTCTCTCTCTCTCTCTCTCTCTCTCTCTCTCTCTCCTCTCTCTCTCTCTCTCTCTCTCTCTCTCTCTCTCTCTCTCTCTCTCTCTCTCTCTCTCTCTCTCTCTCTCTCTCTCTCTCTCTCTCTCTCTCTCTCTCTCTCTCTCTCTCTCTCTCTCTCTCTTGCCGCTTGCCATTTCATCTCTCCTTCGGGATATGTCGCAGGTTATGAAAGAGAACGAAAAGACGAGAAATTATTACTTGCTTATTTACCTTTTAAATGTCTATTCATGATTTTATTATGCTTTATATGATTTGTCTTTTCTTTGTATGTTACCATCATTATTATAAAAATTGTTAATGTTATATATCAAAATTATTGTTATTGTTATTATTGTTATGAGTAGTAGTAGTTGTAATGATATTATGATTATCATTATCATTACCATTATTAATGTTTTCTACTCCAACTTCATTTCCTCCCCCACACGTCCTTCCTTCCACCCTCCTTCCCCCACCCCGTTTCCCCGTTTCCATCCTATTCCCTCCCCACACTTTCCCTCCCACACCCTTCCTTTTTTTCCTTCCTATATCCATCCTCCTCCCCAACCCTCCTTCCAATTTCCTTCCTTCCACTCCTCCACCCACCCACCCTCCCTCCTCCCGTCCAACCTACCTTCCTTCCCTTTTTTCCCCAACCCACCTTCATCCACATCCTCCTCCTTCCATTCCCCAAACCCACGTCCCTTCCCTTCCTTCCTCCCATCCCTCCATCCCATCCAACCCCCAACCCCCCTACCCATCATCAACCAACGCCCACCCAACCCTCCCTGCAAAACAGACCTCACAAATCTCATAATTTCTCCCTTCTTCCACTTTGCGCAGGTGTGGTGAGACGCTATGAGGTGGAAGGGCTAGCGGGCGAGTCTGTCCTCCTGCCGTGCGAGGTGGACAAGGCTTCCTGCGGGAACTTCCACAACATCAAGTGGTACAAGGGCGTGGAGCGAGTGTTCATTTTCTCCGACATGGCCAATGTGAGGAGAGCGGAGGGCCTCTGTTGGACAGTGAGTGAATTTTTTTTTTTTTTTTTTTTTTTTTTTTTTTTGTCTCTGTCTCTGTCGTGTCTCTGTCTCTCTTTGTCTCTGTATGTCTCTGTTTCTGTCTCTCTGTCTCTGGCTCTCAGTCTCTGGCTCTCTCTCTCTGTCTTCTCTCTCTCTCGTCTATATATATATATATATATATATATATATATATATATATATATATATATATATATATATATATATATGCATGTATATATAATGTATATGTATATGTGTGTGTGTGTTGTATCGTCTTTTGTATTTTTTCTTTTTTTTTTTATTCATTTCATGTTTGAATGCGTTTCCTTCCCTTCTTGTAATATTTTTTTATTTGTTTGCTTTCCATTGTCCTTTTTTTACTTTCGTTATTTTCTCTTTATTTCCTGTTTTTATTTTCCATATATCTAATGTTTTTATGTGTTTTCCTCTTTTCCGTTTGTCTGATGTTTGTCTGTAGCTTCTTTCTTTCATTCATTTTCTGCTTTTCCTTCTTCTCTTCTTCCTTGTATGTCCTTTTCCTTTTTTTTCGTTTTCTATCTATTACTTATCTTTTTGATTTCTTGTCAGATTCATCAAAGTAATATGTATTTCTACTTTTTCATTCATTTCTTATCCAATTTCAACATCCATATCGTTTCTATTTTGATAATTTTATGTTTTTTTTTATTTTTTTCCTTATATTCTTGCTGCACTGAGTGATGTAATAAACATCCCTGAGTATATCCTAATGTACAGACGCTTCTGATTAACTCGTGTAAATGATTTATTTAACAGACTATATAGCAAAGATCATAAAAAGTCATAAATGTCATATTACCGGCATCCTTTTTATACATCTATGTGTCTGTCTATCTGTGTCTGTCAGTCTGTGTCACGAATAGGATTTTATACACGTATACCTACATAAGTTTACCCAGGAATCTATTCGCATAACTATAAGCACCTCTACAAACGCTCAGATCATTAATAATTATGATAAGAATGATAGTAAAAAAAATAATAATGATAATAATAATGATAATAATAATAATAATGATAATGATAATGATAATATAAATAATAATAAAAATAATAATAATATTATTATTATTATTATTTTTATTATTATTATTATTATTATTATTATTATTATTATTATTATTATTATTATTATTATTATTATTATTATTATTATAGTAATAATAATAATGATGATGAGGAGGAGGGCGCTAATAGTAATAATATTAATAATAATAATGATGATAATAATTATAATAATAATAATGTAATAATAATGATAATAATATTAAAAATAATAACAATATTAATAA